ATGCAACAACTGCAACCGGTAAATTTTGTAATTTATGTCCTATGGAGGGTAACATATTGGGGTTAGGGCCTTAAAAAATCTTGGGGTTCCGATTTAACTACTGACCCCAAATTTTTGCTACTGACCGAACAATTTTACTCTCCGTTATAAATCAAATTTACTTTCTGTCATACAACTATTTAAAACTTTTCCAGCAGAAAACTGTAAAATGTAAAATATCACACAGATGAGTCTACATTGCAAAATCATAAAAACATCAAATTTCTATCTTGCTTGATGAGTAAACATGGTATTTGTTACGAAAAATAGTAATCTTCTATATATGATATGTGCAGATGACATTGGGTGAGTTGTGTAATATGTTTTAAGTATGACCTTTACCGTATGTTTAGATAGTATGAGTAATTCCAATTAAGTGGAAAAAACAATTTTTTATAATTACAATAATTAATGTCTGACAATATTTTCAGGTGGTGGACCTCCCCAACACCAATTAGCCCAGTTCTGAGGAAGCTGTGGTGGACTGTATAGGCGGGAGAATACAGTGCTGACAGGGATTGGGCCGATGTCCATGGATTCTAGTTTCATCCAGCTCCTAGAGCTAGATCAGTCCTTTGAAAAGTAGGTAATAACATATTGAAACAATTGTATGAGTTCCCCTGACCATGTATGCCTGACCATTTGAATTCCTAAAATTAAAGTTGAAATTAGAAATTAGATAAACCTTGTTTCTATATTTGTCTGAAAATCTTTGAAGAGATAAAATAATAACAGAAAACAGGATTTAAAAAGTAATGATATATTTTGATGAATACAATACTGATAATCTACATCTGTGTTTCAGAGAGTTAGATCCAGTTCAAGAGGGAGTGAGATGTCCTTATCCTACATCACAGGTGGGACAGTCATCATCAGCATCAGCAGCATTAGCATCACTATCAGCAGCAGCATCCATATCATTCAACATTAAAATTACTATATTTTTACATTAAATATTCTTCAGGATGTATCAGTTGTTTTGTTATTCATCTTGTATTGAAGAAGTTACAATTGGGATTGTTTGTCAAAGTAATCATTTGTACCAGTCATAGTAAATGCTGAAAAAAATTTTGATAATCACTTTGATCATTGAAACAAACATATATAATCAGACTTACATGGAAAATGAGTCCTTGCAAACTGTTCCCTGTAACGCACTCCCATCAGACCTTGTGGTGGCAGGACGGCTGGTAATGTGGCTGCGTGCCGTTGTTGCTGTAGGTTGCCATCACCTGGTGGAATCGGTATGTTCATCTCCTTGCAAATATTATGGAGAACAGCACAGGCTATTATTACCTGAAACACATGATATAACACACTGTGACTAAAACAAAATTGCAATGAACATGATAAATCTTGGTACAGCTAGTTACAACATATTATTATTAAGTTATTGATTTCTCAAAAGCATATTCTTAACCCTTTCATTTAGTTTTCATTTTCACCTTGCATGTTCTCTCTGGGGATTGTCTGATCTCACCATGAAGGACCCCAAATCTGCGTTTCAGCTGGCCAATTCCCGCTCAACACAACTTCTTGTGATCTTGTGAGCTCTGAAAACAATTTTGTCTTAAATTATTGAAATAAATCAAAATAAATTTGGTTCACATAAGTTTGAAAAAATATATTTTAGATATTTATGGGTGATTGTCTTTTTACTTTTATTTATATTCAATTTTACTCCAAAAACTCAGATATTTCTTCTGTCAGAATGTGGATTATCATTGCAAACACTAAAAAAAGTTGAAATGAACAGAAGAAAACAAAACATATATTTTGGTGTGACCTAATCACAGTTTTATATCAGTGCATACTTAATATTCATATATCAAAAGAAATTATGATCATCTGATGGATACATACTTGCATATTACGAAAAGGTTTAGTTTGATATTGTTTACCGCATTATGTGTGATCCAAATTCTGACTGCACCTTTTTATATAGTACCAAGGGGGATCACTCCAACGTGTCAGGGTTAATTCTTACCGGTTGTATTTAATCTGACAGCCGGGTTGTGGAGTGTAAGAAAGGTGTTAGCAACCAACGTCTGGACGGATAACCGCTGTCACCGAGGAGGTGACACCCAGCTGGCAAGTTGTTACCCTCCATTAACCGGAAAAGGCCACTCTGGGACAAGATTCTCGAGTCGTGTGGGACCCAGGCCAGCGATGCAACGATGTCAATGATGCGATCGAAGGGATCGAATACTACCTGAAAAATACAAAACCACGGCACGTTTACAAGTTTGTTACGCCCAAATCGACGATCGAAAGGTTTGAGACGTTACTGTACATGTGTGTCTTTAGGAATGAACTATTTTTCATCACACAAAATATGAATCCGTAAAGAAAGTACCTGTGTGTTGATGCTGTGGTAGTGATGCCGATTGACGTAAACATCCTCATTTACAGTCGGTGCCTGTATCTGTATGTGTTATGCCATCAATGACGCCGATCACCCCGGGAAGTTGGCTGTCCGGTGAAACTCCACCTTGTTACGTTGACACTCAGCAGGACTGGGAAAGTGTATAAACCGTGCCACCATGGCAGGTGTGGTCAAAGGCTTCTACAGTCGTGCATATCGCACGTGAAACGCTCGGTTGGCTCAACCCATGATCATCCCGTTACACAATTGAAACTTGCCTGTTGCCAGGAACCTCAAAGTGACTAAAAGTTTTGTTGTCGCGTCAATTGCATGATTCCGTCCAGTTAATGGCTGTATTTGTGCTCCAACAAGTTGCAATAAAAATCTAATACCTTGTTGGTTCAGTCTGTATCTCTTAAGAAGTTCCTCATCACGCATATCATTGAATCTGTTGGATCTTGGCAAATAAACACGCTGTGCGGCAGCCATCTTAGTTACAGACTTAAGTTGAAATCCTATAGTTAAGCCTACATGGATGCAGGCTTAGGAAATAAGTCCAAAAACAACAAAACTTAAGTCTAAAACCTTTATTGAATATGACTAAGAAAAAACAAGTGACTTAAGACAAAACTTAAGTTTTTTCAAAAAACTTAAGTCACTTTCCATAGACTTAAGTCTTTTTAAGGACTTAAGACTTTTATAGAATACCGCCCCAGGTTCCTCCCTCTTGGCAGTAGAGGCGGGGATCTATATGGTCCAGGTCTCTCCATCTATACAGTAGAGGCGGGGATCTATATGGTCCAGGTCTCTCCATCTATACAGTGGAGGAGGTGATCTACATTTTCCAGGTACCTCCCTCTGTGCAGTGGAGGTGGGATCCAACATAAATTAGACAGTTTTACAACAATCTTATCCCAGTAGGTCATATAAACTGTAATGACAGTGTATTCTGCCATGATCAGACAAAAAAAAGTAAGACTTTTCTTTGTTGAAGAAAAAATATTGCTGTGTTTAATGTGAAGGAATCATACCAGCATAATCAGTCACAATTAAACACTACTATCTGGTCACATTCCTAATTTAAAAAGCAATCTCTACAATGTAGAGGAAGCATGGTCAATCAAAGAAGTCAATGATCAGACAATCATCATATACTGGTTTTACTGACCTCCTCTATGGTCTACTGAACAAAGTGTGTGTGTGGAGAGGGGTAGGTTAGTGCTTCCATCACCAGCCTCGTCAAATCAAAAACGTTAAAATATGATACACATGAACATATGTCGACATACAAATATAATAATCTTGAACACGACATTTAACCCTTTTTCACCCCACCAGCAGCACTGATTGTGATTCTTATCAGGACATTGCTAGACTTTGTATATATTGTGACAGTGTTTCATCCTGTATTGAAAGATCTTTGGGTATCATTGTGAAAGGTCTGTAAATTCACCGCTTAATGGGACTGAGTGAGTATGGTTTTACACCACTTTTAGCAATATTCCAGCAATATCGCTGTAGGGAATACCAGAAATTGGTTTCACGTGGGGAATTGATCCCGAGTCTTCAGCGTGATGAGTTGCTTTAACCATTAGGCTACTCCGCCGCGACCGCCCCTCACTGCTTAATGGTTGTGGTTGGGTAGACCAGTGGTTAAATCTTTCGCTCATCATACCGAAGACCCGGGTTTGATTCCCCACATTGGTAGAATGTTGAAAGCCCATTTCTGGTGCCCTGATATTGCTAAAAGCATCGTGAAACCCAACTCACTTGCTCATGCTCACTCACTCATTCATCGCTTAATGAAAATTTGCCTCATTATTATTCTGCTATTGGTGTATTATAATTGTATGTTTGTTTCCTTGTCTGTTAAGCATGGTTTTACACACCATGACTAGTTTGTTTGAACATTTCTGTGACAGCATGTGCCAACTGACATTATCGAGAAACATTTTTTAATGCTCAAATGTATCAATAGACATAGTCTAAATGTCATCACAAGCATGTTGATATGTTGGAAATAAAGACATGTTAAAAAAATTTCTGCATTTATGTCGTTTTCAAACAGGAATGTTAGGGCTGAACATCACATTTGTCATGAGTCTGCCAGCAATGAGGTATCTGACATTTGAGTGGGTTTGGTTCACTGTGGCTCTGATGTGGTTGAACAACATTTCATGGAGCAAACCCAGAAGTGAAGCAGGTCTTGGATGTTAACTACTTCTTTGTAAAGAAGCAAGCAATCTTTCTACCAGTGGTGTTAGTAAGACCACCTGTCACCTGGGGGCATAGGTGAGTCCATGATTACACAATGCCATGTAGAAAGTGGTCAAATGTAACATGTTATATTTGGGATTACACTTTCTTAATAAAGTACAGATTCTAGTACTTTTGTTGGGTAGAGTACCATCTGGAATTCGAACCCACACCCTCAGAGTCAGGCACCTAATCACCTCCCCCTATCATCCATTGGTAACTTGTCTTGGACAACATGGGTTGCTTCTCCAACAACCAGTCACTGGCTTTTCTCAGGAAATCTGTGTTCTCATTATCAATAACTAACTAATAATCTTACACAAGTACCATGAACACACTGTTTATATGTTTAACATTTTATTGATAACATAATGCAGCATGTTACAAAGCCATTTAACCTATTTCTTGGTTATAAATACCATCCTCACTTCTCAAATTCAACCTCAATCAATCACACCATTACACGTTACAGATGGGTCAGGGAGAAGGCCAGTATTCCTTAGCCTATTTCCTTTAAATGTTTCTCATCTCAAGACAACAAGACCCTGAATTATCAGGTTAGTGTGGAGCATCATGATGTGAGATTAAAATATCATCCCCTTTTAACAATGTATATACATTAATGTATTGACTATCACAGCACTCATTTAAAAAAAACAAATACCATTTGGTCTGACTGAAGCATTCATCATTCCCTCTGTCAAGTATTAGTAAAGAGCCTTGTAAATACTATGTTAACTTGCATTAAGCTATCAATACATGTACTATCCTTTTGATTCTACTACAGGTAACACTGATTAGAGGTAGACGCAGAGGAAGACAAAACAGTCTGCGATAACTATCCAAAAACTTAGTACTCCTTTGTGATATATTTAATTAGATTTGAATACTAACTTCTGTACCTTCTCTCAAAATGTGAACTCATATCCATGCTGCAGAGAGAGGTAGAGCTTTCACATGAACAGTCTACCATGGAGACAGTTTATCTCAGCTATTGACTTGCTACTGTTACCATGGTAATATGTCAATACAAGGTAGTACTAAAACTGTATGGAAAACAGGCAGTGGTGAAGTTAATTGAATATTGATATCAAGAACACAAAACATGAGGCATCGTCAATATATCCAAATCACACATCTTGATTGTGGACAGTCACAGGCCTCAAAATACTATGTTGAGTTTGATCCACTTCAGTGTGAAGTAATTGTTAAATTTTGCAAGTTTTCATATATCTGAATCACACCTCTTTGTGATTAAGGACAGTAACAGGGCTTAAAATATATCATTTTATTTCACATGCTTCAATGTGAAGTATGAAATAGGTGCCAGTATTTTTTGAAAAGATGCTGTGTCAAACAGATATTATTAGGTTATTATTTCCCTGAGCTGGACAGCATTATACACCTACAAAAATTGTTAAATGCTTACAGTCCAATCTCTATATGAAAACATGTTGTCTTATATATTCTCTAAATCATGGCATGTTTACAACACCATAAATATTGCTCATTTTTACAAGTTCCACTTTGGCAGCTCTATTCCATGTATATGTTGTAATCAGGAGTACTGCCTGTAAGTCTTAAAGCTTACACACAGAGACACAATGGTTACAGCCGCACACCTATACACTGAGAGCACTCTTTAATGTACATCAGTTTTCAGGCTTCTTCTTGGCCTTCAGGGTGCTGTAGAAGACTCCACCCAAGACGGCAAACAAAGTGAATCCTTGTGCACCAATCCTCATTCGCATCATGGTCTGTGATCTGCGCGTGTTTCCAGTCTTCATCTGCCACAGACCATATGACAGGGCAAAAGTTGTCATGGCAACACCTGAAAATATGTGCCTTCATAAAATATTTGTTCGGAACACTGCTGAACTTACCACACATACTGATTTGGGAGAAACATTAATTTGGACATAGTGTTTCACAACCCCAAAACACAATAACCAGAGAATGAAATGTACTGAAGCTCACTTCAATCACAGATATATATATAATATATTGAGGTGCTCAGCATTTTGTCATTGATTACACAATAACAATGTAATTTCATTTTTATTCTCTTAACATATTGTGATGCCCTTTTTTTTATGGACTTGTAGATCTAAAAGTATCTTGAGGAATTTTTCTTCAAAGGAAAGAATATTGTTTACTTCTTCTCCACAAAGAGTAATAAAATACACAACTGAACATACATATTGACTCCTTAATACCATGAACACAGTATGCAGTATCGTCTGGGCGGGGATATACATGCTTCCAAATGACTCAGTACTACTGGTTGAAAGTTGGAATGTGCAAAGAAAAATTTGGTGTTACTGAGCTGTTTCATTGAAGCTGAGGAGAACTTGCTTTTAACCCAACATTTAAACCATTGCCCTCGCATAATTTTGCACCTTACAATATGCAATTACATGTATTACATGCTTGCATTAGTCTAGGATGATGACAAGTTTATAATACTAGCCAAAGGAGATATCATGCCGCAGTTTTAACATTGATAAAAATGATACATGGCTAAATCATGAGCTGGCCGGTAGTTGTTTTATCACATTTGTGACAAGCACCATCTTTGATGTCTTTTAGTGTCGTGCAGCTAGAGGATCAAATCACTGAGATTCCTCACTGGAGAGTCCAGTTCCATAAAAGGATCTTAACACTAAGACGTTTGTAATTCTTTTACATAGACTGACAGAAGTTGTCCTGCTAAGATTGCTTAGTGGAACAAGGCTTATATTCCACCCTTAAACCAAGGCACTGAAGGTCATTTAAGCTCATACCCAGTGTCAATTTGTGCCCGATAAACTGGAGTCTTGCAGCTGTATATGCTGAGTAAACAATAGAGACAAACTTTATGGATTAGATCTACAACTTCTTATTTCGTGAGTGCGACGTTTCGATACCGATTCTTGTACCATACTCCATAGTCAAGCAGGGATAAGACTACACCGTTGCGAAAGGTTGCATATCTTGTAAATCTGTCGATAACATTTTCTCCCCTTCGTCATATCAGCTTCTAAATGCCATTGAAAGAAGTTACACTGTTGCCCAGTTGTGGACAAACTGTCAAGTTGGCTTGTCAGTAACACAAGCATTGCACAGATTACGTTATGCAACTGAACAAAGTGGCCGCATTTACCTATAGGAACAAATGGATTGTCCTTTGTTTTTCTGATAAACTTGTCCTTTAAACCCTCATCGTAGTAGCCAATATCATCTCTTGGAGGTGGTAAATATGCAAATTCTTGAGGTGGGGGTTTCTGTGCCGTATTTGACTCTGTAGAGGTCGCCATTTTAGAAGATAGAAAAGTGACACAGGAACAAATATCCGGAAATAATTCCGTTATGATTTCCCTAAGTTGGTATCTATCAGCTTACAATTAGAAGAGTGGAGTTTTTTTTTTTTAAAGTGTAAAAATGGATTTAGAGTGAAAGAATCGCACTACAATATTTATACGAACAATTATTACATTGGTTTCCACCGATGTACTAATCTCACATTTTGGTAGCGTGAGATCGTCGCAAACATCCGGTTGGAATATAGTAAAATAAATCTGGATGGTTTTGGAATTTTGAATGCTAATATATTTATCTTTATAAATGAAAACTGTATTAGAGTGAGATAACACAGGAGATAGTAACTTGATAGCAGTATGATATAGCAGTTTTAATGTGTTTAACGGCAAAATAGACACTTAGTGTTTTCTTCTGTTTCGGATATGATTCCATACTTTAAGATTTCCACTTTCGCGTCCTTGAGCACGTGTTGATGTTTTGCTTGTTTCTCGGTGACTGAACCATGGCGAGAATACGAAAACAGAGCAGAAATAAGACTTATAACTACACAAAAGACCGAAAGAGAAGCTGGAAAAACAAAAGCAAACAACAAAAAATTACATGGTAAGTCCCTTAGAAACTTTTTTGAAGTGTAAACAGGACACTCTTCGCAGTGGACAACTCAACTTAACTTTGATTGAAGGCAAGATATCTTGTGGATGACAGTTTCTCTGTTAGTTTTAATACACTGTTGTATTATGATGCGATGTTGCAAGTTGTATATCCACAGACTTCTCCCGTGGTTCATTGTAGAAGTTGTCATCCATACACATTGATAAAGCATCTCAATTGTCTGTATTATTTTGACATTTTTATGTCAAAACATCTGAGACTAGTGAGACTGAGAGTGTCTGTCATGGGAATTTGTAACTAGCGATTTTTTCTTTGTCTCTTTGAATCTCACTTTATGCAAAGATGTAAGTATTTAACAGAAGAAACAGTCTAAATTAAATATTGTATCTGGAAATGATAAAAAAAACAAATTGGTAAGTAATATGTAATGTTGACGATGCTAGATCCTTTTGGATGACACTGAAATACAGTACATCAACATAAATCACCTGTTTCGTATGGGAACTTGATATTGCTGAGTGCGGCATAAAACAACAAACAAGACGAAACAAACAGGCTCTTTAAACATCTCCTTGATAGCTTAGTGGATGCACATCAGAGGTCACGAACCAGTCAAGAATTCTGGGATATCATCGGGGTACCCACCAGTAGATAAAAGTAACAACCATTCTCATGGAATAGCTCTGTAAAGTTCATGGCCACAATGCATTGTTTCCACTGTAACCATGGTAACAAATGCACTGGTTATTCTTCAGAAACCATGAACTAATGACCTGTGTATCCTATCTCAACTAATATACAAAATTCAGGATGATTCGGCAAAAGATGTTTTTAATTTTTTGTGACTGTTTTCTCCTTAACTCTCATTCTCCCACCCCAGTGACGCTTTGTCGGGCAGCAGATGGGAAACAAAGACGTATATACTGAGAGCCTTATTGGAAGTAAATGGTTATTACTTATATGTCTTAAGCCGAGTACATTTTCAGTTAATGTGACACCCTCAAACCCTGAGAGCTGTACCACCCAAGTAGAACTGGATGAGGGGGTTTAGTAGTTAGTACGAATGCTAAAATATGGCAAAAAATAGACAAAAATTTGTATATTGTTCATAAATTCAGTACGCGTGTCCACTCAAATGAAATGGGTGGCTCGGAATACTAGTATGTCAGATTATTGTGTATTATGATCTAATGCTTTTCAGTGAGACTGTGAGAGAATCTTGGGATGAGAAGAAGTCTGTGGCACAGAACATGCATGACATGGGACTGTCAGCAGACTCCAACAAGACCATCAGGATCCCCAAAACTAAGGTGTGCTTATTGCTCAAAGCCATTCTCGAACACTTTCTTCAATACACAAGTTTCCTGACTTTCGGTGCAGGCACAGCATTCTCTGTGCATACTGAATAACAAATGCTGGATTGTCTCCCTTGGTATCCCTCACTGTGCTTCTTGTATGGCCTTCACAAGCTGGAGCAAATTCTGGCACTGCAGAGGTCAGCTGTGAACCGTTTTGTCCAGAACATCCAGCGGTGTCCGTTTATTCATGGTCTAATTCAGATTCTATTTTCAAACTTGCCCCAACAGCTATTAATATCCATTTTTAGATATGGAGGATATATTGTGACAAAGCAGAATTGATAGGAGACGGTAGTATTGGGCTTTGTGGAAATATAGTCTATAAAGCATACATGTTCCCATCAACACAGCATAATTACAACTTCTTAATTTTGTGATTTTTTAAAAAACATGCCATTTTTGCTTGAATTTCAGTAGCCATTCGCCAGATGAAATAGGTAGAACTTGAGTCACCATTTTAACCATGTCATGGAGGGTTTCCATCTAATGGAGACAAATTGTATCATGATTGTACCACATGTGTCATATTGTCAGCAGTTGTCATGGTGTTTGTGGTGTTTCAGGAATTTCTGACAAAGTCTGCTGAAGTTGTCATGGCAATGAAATCCAAGAAAAAGAAAGCTCTCAAGCATCATGTTGTTGATGGTAATAAACTCATCATTTCTTTTGTTACTGTGGATATGAGCAGATCTCACCAGCTTAGTATGAGCTTACTGTTATTTCCAGCTACCATGAGACCTGCTTGTCGAAAGAGGCGGCCAACGGGATCAGTTGGTCATTATCGCTGACTTGGTTGACACATGTCATTGTATTCCAATTGCGTAGATCGATGGTCATGATGTTGATCACTGGAGTGTCTGATCCAGACTTTATTATTTTACAGACTGCCTTTAACTAGCTGGAATATTGCTGAGTGTGGGGTAAAACTAAACTCACTCACTCACTCAGTGGGGCATGCAATCATGAAACAACAAACCAATCCAGGTGCCATGATCAGGGTGCCGTTGTACAAAGTGATCTTAACGCTAAGGTTACTGTAACTCCAATACCTTAACATAGGCTTAAGGATAGCCTTAGCGATAAGGTTGTTTTGTACAACGGCACCCAGATTACTACAGCTGATGCTTTGAAGTGAACCTTTGTTGATGGATGTGTATGTTATACATGCCATACTTTGACTCAAAAGAAGTCACATTTGTTGTACGTTTACCTATACTGTTAGTTTCGATCAAAATGTCAAGGCTATGGGAAGCCTCTAACGGTGACTCCTAAAAGTGTTACATGCAGAAAAATATGACAGAGTATACCATAGGTCAATGCTTTGGTTATTATTATTTTAAATATATGTATAGAAACAGGTTAGTTGCCAAAAGGTTACCATGGGGTATCAGAATGACAGTTGGAAGCTACATGCCTGATTTAGTCATGGTCTCTCTGGCTCAATGTGATAAGCATTTGAAAAGGAGTGATTAATGTTGAACTAGTGAGTTAAAATCACTTATTGCATTTTGCAATGCTGAGGCATTGCATGTGTCACACAGTGTGGATGGTTGCCCATGCTGTCAACCACTTTCTTTACCTGACTTGGTTTTGAACAAGCCTGTATGGTAGGGCTTATATTGCTCAGTGTCTGTGTGACATACTGCATTCATTAGTTCCATCATGTTGATAGCATTGTACCGTTCAAAATGCTGAGTAAACTCTTCTGATAGATCTACGTTAGGCTCATCTTACGACATGTTGATGTTTCAGCTCTTGAGAAGCAGGCCAATATTCCACAGGAGGCCAGGCTGCGACTGTCAGACTTGGAGGTCAGATACTGTGTACACATGATAGAGAAACACGGGGAGGACTATAAGGTGTGTGAGCGGATCATTGTAAGATATCATGGAGCTGGCTAAAACAATCAATATTTGAAAATATTGTTGAGGAAAAAGGTTTTTACAACTCTGGTTATGAATACTGACCTCTATGATATTGTGATGCAGTGTTTTTGTAAGCAATCCATGCATAAGTAACCACTCACCAATGATATGAAATATATTGATTTGATTTTTACTTTTTCTCACATATTATCTTCTCTGATATACATCTATAACTGATCAATATCTGTGTGACCTGCATTGATATCCAGCCCTACCAGTGGATGGTTGAAAGTTTGTCATGGCATCTGGCATCAAGATATACTGTCACTGATTTAGCCTGTCAGTAACAGTCTATACCTACCTTGATGCCAGTATGTCTGTGGTACATGACCCTGTGGGTGTACTGAATAGTCACTGTGTTGTATGTATTGTGATACCTGATTGAAGATACATTAATTATATCAGTAGTCTATTGATACAGAGGGGCGGGTGGGGTAGGCTAGTGGTTAAAGCGTTCGCTTGTTGCGTCGAAGACCCAGGTTTGATTCCCAAATGGGTACAATGTGTGAAGCCAATATTCTTGTGTCGTCTGCCGTGATATTGCTGGAATATTGCTAAAAGCGGCGTAACATAGTACTCACTCACTAACCATTGATACAGATGATAAACATCAGATCAGGTACCACAATCAATCAGTAGATACTGTTAACCAGTGTAATGACACCCTTTCCCAATCAAGGTGATTGTGGAACATATATTCAACCTCCTTTAGCAATGTTAAGTAAGCATGGTATACTGATGCAAAGAATAATCTTTTCACAGGCAATGGCACGGGACCCAAAGAACTATTACCAGGATACACCTAAACAGATAAAAAAGAAAATCAACCGATTTAAGAACATTCCCGAGCAGTATGAGGCCTACCTTCGCTCAAAAGGTGAGAGTGGATCTACCATGGAAACAACATGACACGGCACACACATGGGACACTTGTGTCTCCGTCTCTAGAAACAGGTGCTTGTTGAATCGGGGGAACTGGTTCAGGGTTAATACACATGCAGGTGGTGGCACCTGAAACAAGCAGTCCCTCCGTGGCTGTATGAGGGAGCTCTTGTCTGCTAGTGTAGTGACTGGCTTTCTTCTGACAAGACTTTGTATCATACTAACTATAGCTAATGGTCTTGGTCAGTTTCGTATGAACAGAAGATTTCAATAGATTTCATTTTGTGATTCATCAATCTCATCCTTCTTCGCAGAGTAAAGATTAACATGAGACAGTGGAGGAGAGCTCCATGATTTGTTCATGTACATGATGTATGTATATGCTGGTAGCTTTCATGATTCCCATTGTTGTGAATTGTAATGATGTGCCCATTTTATGTCCTTTGACAAATCCAGCAGTATCATGGGCTAGATAGAATGACCTTATGTAATGTGTGGCTTCCACCAAACTAGCGAGGGTGTGCATGTGCTCCCTGGATGGCTAGCCGCCATGTTATCGTTGTGAAGCAAACATTATAAAGGGGAATAACTCCTCTTGTAATTTGATTCCAGTGAATTTACATGCTTGCTAAATGTCCATTGTGAAGAAAAACTTTGATTAATTGTCTGGATTGGGAAAAAATACATTGATGTTAATGTTTGTTATGGTTTAACTATGACATTTTGTGTCAGCAAAATGAAATGTGCTCATTGATATGGAAGAGCGCCTTGTACCTCGACATTGAAAATAAATATTCAGGAAAAAACGTAATTTGAAGGCAATAAATTCTGTTGAATAAATTCAGTGTTTGTTGTGATTGCACTTTGTCATGGTTTAATGTTCTTTGCATATCATCTTCAAGCCTCACAGTTAAACAAAGTTTTCTAATCAGCTATCAGTGGACATTTAGACGAAGTCTGATTTGTTGCAATTCCGTTTTGTTTGTTAACACCACACTCAGCAGTTTCTCAGCTATAGGATGGTGGTCTGTCATCCAGACAATCCAGTGATTAACATCATGATGTGATCTTGCAATTCACCAGATTCAATGATTAATGAATATTTGTGTAGATAGCTCATTGTCAATAGGCTGTTTAGCCATGTGGCGAAAGCGATCTTGGGTAGGGCGTAGATTATAGATCTTAGTTGGAGACAAGATGTGAGCGTGTGTTATTTTACAGTAAATGTTGACACTGAAATGCATCGTATTGACAGTAGCGGTTGACCTTGCTCAGATGAACACTACTAAGCCAACTGTTGTTTATTTCCCGCATCATAGAATTTGCCCTTTTGAGACATTGTCTTCTTCAGCTGATCAACGCCTTTTAAACTTCAGCATTTAATTGTGTTTGTATAAGATGCATCGCTACGGTTCCAGCAACGTTGTGGTTGGGATGTTGGCAGATGGGACACTTAATTATGTCATCTATTGATTAAAACTGCCCTGAACTCCACCACTCAAGTGTAAAAATGAAAACGATCACAAACCCATTTAAATGTTGGAAACAAAAACAATTTATTTACAGCCACAGAGATAGAGACATGTAGGAAAGTTTCAAGGTTATTGCAAATAGAGACATTTGTCATGAAAAAAAAATACCGCACAGGAAATAATGGTCTCTTATTTCATGCTGATGCAATTGAAACTTCTTCTTTGATAGTCACCAGGATAACTAGATTATGAACTAAAGTTGTTTGAAAGGAACATGTTTGCCGAAGTATGCTGGGAAGAACCACAACAGTTCTAACTGCATTGAAGACATTTCTCAAGTCCTATTCCCTCAAGCCTGGTCCTTCTGTGGCCTGTGCTGTGCACAGTGCACGTCAGTGATTACAATTATTTGGGAAAAGTACAAAAATATATAATACATATATACCATATTAGATGGTTTTAGGGTCATATTACCATAGCTAAATTAAATAGGCAACAATAGTGTCACAACATTGCACACAAAATACATCAACACAACTCCTGATAAAAAGCTGTAATACTGAATGGTAATTTAATACTCTGGCCTTAGTTGATGATAGTCCTGAAAAATCAATCCTGAGATTTCAGCAAACGTGAGGTCATGAGATGACAATGCTTATTAATCTTTCGAGTTATTAGTAGTGCATAAATGAGTGGAATAGATGAATGTTGTTAACAATACCAGTAGATCTGTTTGACTTGAATGTGTTTGACCAATCCAGAACCTTGTATCATCGAGTAATTGATATTTTAACACAAAGTGAATTGAATGCATGGCTCTCATTGGTCAGCATCATCACATAGTGTGCTTTGTGTCTCTAAAGCATTTACAATTTTCTCTCCATGATAATTTATGCATGTAAATAACTTGTGAAAATAGATTGTAGTTCGGGTGGAAGACTAACAAAGAAGCAAATATTTGGCCTCAACAATTATACCAAAATCAAAATGGAAGCCATTTCTGTTCAACAATCACACAATATGGTTGGTAATACAGAATTGTCGTTCATGGACATCGAAGAAATGGAAATAAATATTAGATATTGCTACATTAAATCATATACATGGATCAAGAATAGTAGAAATCTTATAAATATAATGTTAGTCCAGTTCAAGAGACCACAAATATCCGATAACCTTTAATCTGGCGTTAATAATTATTGAAATGAGTTCTGATTTCTGAAGGCAGTTAACATTGACAGTGTTTAACTGAACAGGTAATACATTAAAATACAAAATTTAGTTGGAAAATCCTTCAACACACTGATAATGTTTATGGCAATTCTTGTTACAGTTGTGTTCTTTAATTACACATTGTGCTTCTTCAGTATGTTAAATCCCATTTAGCCCTCCTTTATATACTCCAGTTAACCCTATATCCTGTTCGCCCCTATACCCTAGCCATGTTAACCCCTCTGAATTGGCTGTGCCAGGTCTTCGATTCGTCGGGGCACAACACCCTTCAGAGCAGATTCTCTCACTATGAACGCATCAGGATTGAATTGCACATGGTCCATTGATGCTCGCACAATAGGTTGTGACAGTTCCTCCAACCGACTTGAAGCTGCAGCACGTTTTGCTGCTCGTGTGACTGGCCATTCCACCTCCCGGGCAGCCTGGAACCCCTCAGTTGTCCCCTTGGCTCGGGCTAACTCCATGCTTCTTGTACTGGCCGATGAGTTCTTGGCAGCAGCACTCACCTGTAATAGGTTCAAGGAAATGTTGGTGTAAGTGCAGTTTTGAAAAAATAATGAATTGTAAACAGTGATCTGAACCCATAATCATAACCTGGTGTGCCAAAGGGCTGCAACAGTAAACTGCATCTTAGATTATTGGGCCACCTGTTTCCCCTTTAGTACCTGTACCAATGTCAGACAACAGTGAGTGAGTGAGTATGGTTTTACGCTGCTTTTAGCAATATTCCAGCAAGATCACTCCGGGGGACACCAGAAATGGGCTTCACACATTGTACCCATGAGGGGAATCGAATCCGGATGACGAGCGAACGCTTTAACCACTAGACTACCCCACCGCTCTGTCACAGAAGAAGGAAAATGAAGTTGAAATCTTTAAGTCAACACTTGTCATGGCTGCTTTACAGCTTCATATGGGCCACGATTCTGCAAGCTGGGGTACATTATGTGTCAGTTACTGGATTATCCGGTCCAGGCTTGTGTATCTGCACACAGCTGCCTTAAGCTGGAGTAGTGCTGAGTGTGGCATAGTACACAATAATCACCACTTTTGGACTGACTGGTTACATTGAACTTCTATTGTCTCAGTGTATATGGGCGGTGGGGTAGCCTGATGGTTAAAGCGTTCGCTCGTCACGCCGAAGACCCGAGTTCGATTCCCCAGATGGGTACAATGGGTACAATGTGTGAAGCTCATTTCTGGTGTCCCCCGCCGTGATATTGCTGGAATATTGCTAAATGCAGCATAAAACCAAACTCACTCACTCAATGTATATTGTTTGCTCCTCTGGACATCCTCAATGAGGATCATGGTATGACTGATGTTCAGTAACCAATACTTGTCATCATATCCCAATTGCATAAATCAATGCTTATGTCAGTCAGTTGATTTTCTGGTCCATTCTCAATTATTTACTGACTGAAATCGTGTTGCTGGATTTGCTTTTTGTTGTATTAACCAACTAAACAAACAATAAATGACTAGATGTGTCAGACATGGAGTAATACGTACAGTCCATTGTGGCTCTCTGAAGGGCCCTGGGTTCCTTTCTTTGGGTGTGGCGAGCGATTCAACCCTCTCGGATGCCCGGCCTTTGAGAGCAGGAGCAGGTATGACGGTCTGCACCTGTCTGGAAGGCTGGAAGTCTTTATGGTATGGTTTGTGTTGTGCCAGTTGAGTTGTGTGGGCTCGCTCGCCACACTGAGCTGCTCCTTTCTCCACCGTCCAGATGGGACTCGCCCTGCCACAGCTGTAGAAAAAGTCTGGCCTGGAAGATAGCAATAGATGTTTTAAGAATATAAAACGTTTGAGATAAGTGGCTTTGAAATTACCTAGATAGAGGGAAATAAGAACACCAAGCTAAAAGGTTGTGAGATAACAGAGGTAGATAAGTGTTAGATAACCAACATATACAGGCGTGAGATAAACAAGATATATGGGTGTGAGATAAACAAGATAGATGGGTGTGAGATAAATTAGATAGATGGGTGTGAGATTACTGAGGTAAAAAGGTTGTGCAATAAGTCGGTTTCAGGTTTTTATATCTAGTCATTAGGTAGTTGGTAAGTAGCTTAGAGATATCTTGGAGTACCAGAAACAATGTAACTGCCTTTGAAATGACTGGATTTCAGGATACCAGATAACTGATAAATTAAGTAAGCCTGAAGTATGAATCAGCAACCGTGTCTAAAATGAACGAACGTATATGAACAGACCACATTTAGCGACAGTGCATGGGTTGCAGTCGGAGACAAAGAGAGAAATCCAAAGTTGCTATGACTACCTGTGTTCCAAATATTCCTGATGTGTCCTCTTTGGTTTGGCAAGTTCTGTGACTCTCTGCGATGCGGATGTCGCCATGGCTTTAGGACTGACGTTCCATAGCACCGACGACCTCCCACAGCTGTAGAAGAATATTGGACTGAAAGCAGAAAAAGGATCTGAACTCTGCAGTTTGAACGGTTGATACTGACGAGTACCGGAACGAGTACCGGAATGATGATGGAAAATATCGACTTTGAGGTCTGGTGGAGAAGACGTCTGCAAGGAAAGTGGAAGATCGATTCGCGCAACAGACGTCAAAAAATGGCACTTGTTGGTTCCATATCTGGCGCTTGGAACCGACATCAATATGGACTAGTACAAGGAGTCCTGACTGTGGGCGGGAGGAGCGGGTGTTAGATCGACTCGTCTGCATCTGAATATTGCATAATATGTAAACATTCTCATTTTGACATAAAGGCATCGGAATTGTCAACGTGTACACCAATAGCATCATGAGAGTTGCTCATTCAGCCAATTGGAACACCAAAAGCCTGTCTTTGCCAACGATTCATACGGTTCAAGATTACAACAAACCGTTTAAAAGCCACCAGACCACTTCATGTTGTGTTTCAGAATAACAAAAGAACTCTTCGTAAAAGACTATCGGTACCATCTTCAACACTTACTGCTTAAAGTAATCCCGCTGTATTCTCCCTACCCACAGATACTGACTAACCGGACCGCTGCCTTGTTGTCAAGTGAAACAAACGCTACAGTGACGCTCAAAACCTCCTACCCCTGGTCTGATGAAACGAGACCTTGTTAAGTCCGTAAACCGACGCCTCATTCTTTTTCGGGGTGGGAGAGCAGAAATCTAGGTTCACATCTGCCCGATCAACTATGGTATCAACCCCACCACGACACCCGATCCCATCGCCGTCGGTGCTGTTACAGATGCATAAACGTAACGCTGATTACCCTTTGAAGACGCTTGGCACAGTTCCATGACAGCCCGTCAGTCCGTTCAAGTCTTTTGTTGTAGGTCGGTAACAGTAATGACGGATTGATACACTGCTATCATCGAGGTGTATTAGTAACAGTTCTTGTAACACGAGTTGTGTATTAAGAAGCTTACCGTGCACAGCCCATTGCTTCCTTTCACAGATTACAAGAGTGTTCAATTGTATGTCGATGACACGGTGTCTGTTTCTGATAAGGCATTTTGGTTCACAGACTGCTGAAGCGTGGAACACACGATCTGGGATCACGTATTAGATGCCTGGTGCACTTAAGGACATTTCATACGATCATGCGGAATACGTGCTGTTTGTGCTAGGCACGGATATCAATTTATGAGAAATCGTAATGCGCTTCAGCTTTGCGTGTACCCAATTCAAACACTTGCTGAACTGTTCTGCTTACTATTGTCAGATTTAATCAAGTTCTGTTGATTTAATGGGATAAGTTGGTTAGATTCGGTATTTGGGCTAGATGACAACCTGTATTTATTGAATCATGATGTCCCGCGCCCAACATGTCTTTGTAATATTGGTGGTATGTTCGGGAACACCGTCAATACTTCATAGGTTTAAGTACACGCTACGTTCCATGGCTGAGGAAAGTGTATTCAAACTATAGATTATTGAGCCTTCAAGTTGGTGTTCGACCAATATATGGTTTGCTAAAAATCAAGCTGACCCGATCCGACCTCTACCTTCCTGTATAGTGGTGACGTAATACACCGTTACTTGGACGGGGACAGTCCGCGTAATTAGCACGTTAAGATGATGTTCAAGATGAGGGGTCCATCAGTTCGTTATGGCGGCAGCTGAAGGTAGTAAACCACGCTGGACTCTTCTAACGTTCATACCGAATGAGGGGCGGTGGGGTAGCCTAGTGGTTAAAGCGTTCGCTCGTCACGCCGAAGACCCGAGTTCGATTCCCCACGTGGGTACAATGTGTGAAGCCCATTTCTGGTGTCCACCGCCGTGATATTGCTGGAATATTGCTAAAAGTGGCGTAAAACCCAACTCACTCACTCACTCACTTGATGACTGGGCCACATGTGCATCCCCAACGCTGTGACCTGGTACACAAACATGCATAATAAAGCAAAGAGGGAACTAACTGATTGTCTATGTTGGTTTCTTTCTGGAAGTTTCTTTTTGGTGTGGCTAGCTCCGATACCCTGCTTGAGGCGACTGTTGTCCTGGCAGACTTGGGGATCGGCCAGAGCATGTCCTGGGTGCCCCACTTCACATTCGGCCTGAAAGTAAACACCCTCCTTCTGTTAAACTGCATACCGACATCAGCTATACGTGGCAACACCTAGGACTCAGCTGAGTCTTACTGTGGGTGACACTGGGAAGTACAGACAGGTCTATGGGACGGATATAATGTCAAAGGGATCCCACACCGACGCTTCCATCTTTTAACCACCCAGTAAATGTTTGCATACGTATTATATTCATGTTTACATGTGGACACGATATGTGGAGGATGTTTTCACTGTTTGGGGAGGACAGATGGGTTGTTTTCGTTTAATATGATCCGATTACTTGTGCTGAGAGTATGTCTCTACCGAGCAGGGAGTAAAAGCAAGGTGTGCTTAGTCTTAACTATATATACACCGACAACACCTCGGTTAACACATGGCACAATTTGCCCTGGAATAGATTTAAGCCCCACAAGGTCAAGACTGATCATTTGTTCAGTGCCAGAGATGTAATTCTGTGACGTAACTCACCCGACGCTGGTCCACCATTCCACTTTGGGCTCCTTCGGTTTGGACAGCTGCAGAAGGCGATCCCTGGAAGGCAATATGGTGACACTGGTTACTTACATAAATAAATACGACGGAAGGTTTGCTTATATTATGATGTAGGCTTGATGTAGAAAGCTTAACTACACTACTTCCCGTATCTGTGTCGAGTGGCCACCAAAAAAATGTCGCTATAAGATCGACACGGGCGGACCTTAATATTTACTGAGTCGAACTTTGTTTCATGTGGAGTTGGAGCTATCCAGGTTTCCCTTGCAACAACTATGGACCTACAAAAATCGATCTCAATTTGTTTGGCAGTCTTCCCTCATTTGGAGTTCCTCAGACCTATCCAGGTTACCTTCTTCAGATAATGTTGCTAAAACGCCTAATGAATTCAGTATTAGATTGTCATTGACTTAAATATGCTGGAATATATATTAGAAGCTTGGTTGTCTTACCTCCCCCGTTGCCGAATTCGTTCGAATTCCGCTGAAAGGAAAGTACAGTTGAGGTTAAAGTGGGAACAAAGCTTACTATAAAGTTAATACAATATAGGTAAATCGTATGTTGCTGTAAGTGTACACAATTGAGGCTTCACATCTGAAAAGTGTTTCTACGAATCAATTGGGGATTTGAAACCTAAACGAATCAACTGACGGTGGATAATATACACCTCACCGTTACAGGGTTTACCTTCACAGCTGTATAACACAATGCTTCGTTGTAAGTGTGATATTCAGGAGCAGTATGACCATATACACCTCAATAGTGTGTGAGTTTGGTTTTACGCCGCTTTTAGCAATATTCTAGCAACATCCCGGCAGGGGACACCAGAAATTGGCTTCACACATTGTAACCATGTGGGGACTCGAACCCGGGTTTTCGGCGTGATGAGCGAAAGCTTTAATCACAAGGCTACCCCACCGTCCCACACCTCTATAGGATAGGGATGCATGCCACGCTCAGAACCACCAGTGTCGGTTTGATATACCAGACATGTGACATGGTGAAACCCGTTAACCCGGTCGATGTGGTTCCATTGTCAGAGTCAAGTGAATGCCTCGGAGTAATTCCCATTTCTAGCAATGATGGCTATGGTGCAATGGACATTATGAAGACGTTGCAGAAGGTAATCTTCAAAGGGCTCTTGGGGCGGTGGGGTAGACTAGTGGTTAAAGGGTTCGCTCGTCAAGTCGAAGACCCGGTTTCGATTCCCCACATGGGTACAATGTGTAGCCCATTTCTGGTGTTCCCCGCCGTGATATTGCTGGAATATTGCTAAAGGCGACGTAAAACTAAACTCACTCAAAGGGCTTTTTGGTATGAACGGGTTCCGAATTGGCAAGGTCTCAGTGTATGCAGTCAAGAAGTAGTGTTGAAAGGGATAGGCTGTAAACTCAAGCGTGAAGCTCCATGTGTAACTGATACGCCGTGTCCAGGATACCGGTCTCTGTCACAGACTGGGCCACCGGGGATTAGGTGTACAACATTCACGGGTATGGACTGTGGTTAATGACCTAGTTTGCTGTCGTTCATGTTGTAGCGTACATAAAAAGAATTAGCATGGGTTAATTCATTTAGGGAGAGTTGTGGGTTAGTTTTGTTGACAACTGTTGCCATGTTAACCTCATTAGTTCACACGGAGATATTGTTCAAGTCAAGGCAATAACAAAACCAATAGCCGTGATGTTAATGATAAGTTTGCATATTCATGACAGGCGTCATCCATATTCCAACCTGTGGTCTTAACGCCGGACACAACAAATACGTAAGTTCATCGTGAACTCATACACGAGAGAGGATATATGTATACGTATAACGAACACGCAGATTATACAATGTACAATCAATACCCTTATCACACAATTCCAGTGACTTGGGGTACTTTGCTCATCGGCCATGTCCTACTTGCGTGTCTGACATAAGTCAATAGAAAATTCATTGTTACATTCGATCTCTTCAAAAGGCCAAAGGCTTCTTAAATCTTGGGTAAATGTGTGTTCAGGCGTGGTTATACGTCGACTGTCGCAAGTCGTGACAACCCAATTTGTGGTTGTGCTGTGTCAAGGGAAGGGGGACAAGAGCATTGTGTCACAAAACGTTTTGAACGTAGAACAGCAACCATAAGTATATACATATAATAGGTGTTTCCGACAATCGTAGGGCGTTGGGGTAGCCTGGTGGTTAAAGCGTTGGCTCGTCACGCCGAGGACCCGGGTTCGAATCCCAACATGGGTACAATGTGTGAAGCCCATTTCTGGTGTCCCCCGCCGTGATGTTGCTGGGGAATATTGCTAAAAGTGGCGTAAAACCAAAACTCAGTCAGTCAGTCAGTCAGTCCGACAATCGCAACTGCAAGATTGTGCCATTCACCGAATGTCTCTGACATTCACGGCATATTGTATGTTTGGTCGTAAGTTGGCGGTTTAAAGATGGTGTTATTACTGTGAAAATAATTCTAACTTGTGGCGACACTGATTCACGGTGTCCTCGGACAGCTGATATCAGTTTGTTCCACTGTGTTGCGCGTGCGGGATATTTGATTTTCGCTTGAAATTATCCCCAATAACATCGATTGTTTTTCGTCCAAATCTTTGAATGAGGAAGGCATATAGCCACGATCTCAAGTATCAGGCCCCGTCGTTGCGTGTCTAAGTGTGCAATTGTAGAAGTGTTAATCACGAACGTTACAGTTCGTCTTAATGGCAGTGTGTATTGATTATCTCTCACGAACTTATCAAGGCTCATAGGAATGCACCCGGATCGATTGCTATGGGTAGATGTTTAGTGTAACACCGGTAACCGTAACTTATATCAATATATGATAGTGACAGTGATAAATGAGTTCATTGATCTGAACAAAACTGGAGGTTGCAACTGGTCTAAATACGTTTCGACAAGTACGTTACCATTCCGTAACAATAATTAGTTATTCCGGACAATGTTACTGTGGAGTGATTTAATGGAACGGATCCTTCCAAATTAGCAGTGTTTTATTATAGTATGATGCTGTAATACTTCCCGAACACTTGATGTCATCGCTGTTTAGTCGTGATTCATGAACACCTGCTCAACATATTGCCAAATCGTACAATCGACTTATTATGCAGCAGCATTTCTTATAACTATGGCAACGGTTTTCGTTGCTTGTAGGCGACGTTATTCTGCTATCCTACAAGTCTCTATGTGATGCTACGGGAGTAGGGCGCTGAATACCCCATGGACGCCATGAAGTAGATTCCTGAAGTGTAACCTGTTAACTGTTTACCACGCTATATGACGACACTATCAGTATCACCCGTTGGTGTAACCACTTCACAGAACAAATAGTGTTAATCAGTGAATAGTCTGCATTACCTTACGCGAGGGAAACATACATCTTCAGGTGCCGTATCCCCATCCCATCATGTAGACTCGTAGATATTGGGGTGGTTGGACTGACCCATGAGGGGTACGTCATACAAGCTCTGTATGTACCGGGGTGGTTGGACTGACACCCATAGGGTACGTCATGCAGGGTCTGTATATAATGGGATTGTTGGACTGACACTCGTGATGTACGTCATACAGGCTCTCTATATAACAGGATGGTTGGACTGACACTCGTAGGGTACGTCATGCAGGCTCTGTATATACCGGGGTGGTTGGACTGACACTCGTGATGTACGTCATATAGGCTCTGTATATACAGGGGCGGTTTGACTGACACCCGAAGCGTACGTCATACAGGTTCTGCATATACTGGGATTGTTGGACCGACACTCGTGATGTACGTCATATAGGCTCTGTATATATCGGGGTGGTTGGACTGACACCCGAGGGTACGTCATACAGGCTCTGTATATACCGGGCTGGTTGGACTGACACTCGTAGGGTACGTCATGCAGGCTCTGTATATACCGGGATGGTTGGACTGACACTCGTAGGGTACTTCATGCAGGCTCTGTATATGCCGGGGTGGTTGGACTGAATTATGTGGGGTACGTCATGTAGGCTCTGTATATACCGGGATGGTTAGACTCAATAATGTGGGGTACGTCATGTATGCTCTGTATATACCGGGATGGTTGGGCTGACACTCGAAGGATACGTCATGCAGACTCTGTATATACCGGGATGGTTGGACTGACACTCGTGATGTACGTCATACAGGCTACACAGTACACATCAGAGTGATGGGACTGGCACTCGTATGTATGTTGATTACTGATCTACTGACATGCTGTTTTAACACACCAAACGGGTTATGTGTAAGAGGAGTTAATAGTTCCTTCTCTTCATTCAAACAGAGTAACGAGTGCTAATAGGTACAAGCCAACCAACAGAAAGGGATTATTCAACAAAAGAAACACGTGTAAATGCACGACATTGTGGGTTAATGGTGAGTCTGTTCGTGCATCCTTTCTACCTTTGTCAGGGAAGCCTTCTCCACGCGATTCCGTCTCGTCTACTTCTATAGAAAAAGAATGGCGTTAATATCATGAAACATGCATGATGAACTTGTCGGTATGTACACATAGTTGGGTGTGCTGGAGCATCTCGGTACAGTAATGTCCCTCTGTTCGCAGTAGGCATGGATGGTCTGAGGCTGCTTCAGACTGCTATGGGACTATACACACATACACGTACCGCTTAATTAATATATACTATTCTGGTTATGCTGTGTGAGATGATAGATGTACGATAAAAGAGAAACTACCTCGACTAGCACTGGCTTCGTTCCTCCTGTAAAGCAAAGACATCGTTGCAGACTTCAGAAGTCGTAAGAGCTGTTATGAAATGAGGTCTGACAGTGGTAATCAATGTTTGACAAACATGGAGGCGATATGGCTTAACTAATCCCTCCACCCTACCCCCTCCGTCAGTACCCCTTACACCCGGCACCCACGTAGACCCATGTATTGATTATATTTGTTGGGACAGGGAAGCATGTGAAGAGAGGGCTTGTTGGCGGCCAGGGCTGGCCGTGCCGGGGGATACATTGATGAGGCAGTCTTCAAGGATGTTGGTATTCTCTGTCCAGTAAATGCACATGGACGGGAAAATTGCCAAAAGAATATATACTTTTGTTGAATGAACCTGTCCTAACTGACAGGAGCGGTTGGTTTAAATATGTCATTGATGACTTGTTAGAAATGCAATAGGCTTTCACGGTCGCACTCGAAATGTTGAGTGTGTCGAGTTACTACCAGATCTGTCTAATGTCAGACGGCTCTTATCGGTTCTCAGAAGCACTTTTATCCCGTCCACCTTTGAAGTATGTCTTGAGCGAGTGGATTTCGAGCACACTATTGAGCTGTGTATCTGGACAGATATATTTTATACACCAGTTTCTAAAACACGAATATCTTTTTAGAAACTGTTTCTGACGAAAGCTTTCTTTTCTCAACCATATAGATATAATCAGTCCGTTAAATTTACTATGTGAACGGGGACTTTGAAATACACCAGTCACATCTAGGACGTTGTGTGTGAGTTTGTTGCTTACGACGTTATTTATTATTTAAGCCTTTAGCTGTTGTGTTTACAATCTTACAGCATTATTGTTGGTATGGATTCCTACAGTGGTCATAATATACTACAGGGACGACGTCGCGACCTTTTCTCGGCTACCACAACATAAGCTGAGATTAGGTGGGTTTATAAAACATTTATGTAGATTGTCAGATAGCATTTCAATCAGTCGATATTACCTGACAGTTTTGTCAGTGCGTCTGTTCAATTAATCAGTACTATTGATCTTTTTAGTCGCACATTGCTTGGGAGACTCATAGTAACTTAGCAAAACACTGAATTTGATCGGAGTGTATGTTTGTTGATTTGCTGGTACTCCCACAAATTTTAATTAACTCGCAGAAACTTCAATTATGAATGGCCAATGCATGTATTAGAGTCATGGTTTTGTCTCATGTGCAATGGTCAGGTCTAGAATTGTTATATACAGTATAACAAGCAATGGCAACGATTAAAAGATGATCATTCTTAATTTCATTATTAGTTACGTTTATATGTTATGATGGCTGTAACCGGATATTTTTCATGGTCCAGTGACTTACTGTAATCGACTCATATCAGTTTAGTTTTATTGACTCGTATCAGACAAGACCTTTGCCGAGCAGTCGTCGACTTGGTCCGTCAATTAATCACACTATCAAAACTACCCTTCAGTGGTATCGGGTTTCGTTGATATAAACCTAATACCCATGAAGCTGAAATTCTAGCAAGCCACTACACGGATCATATACACCTGAATTTGTCCTTATAATAAAATAGAGTAATATGATCCTACCTGACATGGTTGTGTTTGTTGCAGGGCTTCTCGGTGCGTGTTCCACCTGTCCTATCTCGTCCCTCCAGTTTGACTACTCCATTGTAACAGCTCGGCTCCTACCCCAACGTCACATAGCAACACACGCGCTTGTTACGTCACGTGACTTTGATCCTCTTAACACGCGATCATTAGTTGGATTATCGAGATTATCCCGGTGCGAACGTTGGCGAGTGTAGAAGGGGGAGCAAGGGAGGGTGGTCTTAGCGACCGATAAGAAGGGGATATTGGGTAGCCGGTTACTAACATCATGCAAGGCGTGAGACTATCGCTTTGACTATGGATTGTGATAGGACAGTGTTGATGATTTAACAAGCAAAAGGGACATTGTATTTTATTCTTGAAAACTTGTTTTTTTAAGTTGCGTGAGAGCAGCTTCATTAAAGAAGACTCTTTAAAGTGATACATTAATATAGTAAACGTATTAGTAAGAAAATCGAGTATCTATATACTGTAGATTTTGATTTTGACGGCATCAACAAATTATTTTGAAACAAGACCTCTGACCGGAATGCGTCATGGAATTAATGCAGGTATCCCCACCTTTGGGAGTCTAATAGGTAAATGATAACACCATGACTGTAGACTTAGACGTTTGAGTTTGAACTGGTATGAGCAAACCATGCTTGTGATAATATATGACTAACGGAATCGAGTGATCAGGCTCTCTGACATGGTCGGTGCGTGGCATTATATCCTAATTACTTCGACCGATTTTCACTATGTCAATCATTGGATTGTCTGGTCCAGAATCGATTATTTCCCGACCGCCGCTGTGTATCTGGAATGTTGCTGAATGAGGCTTTAAACAACAAAGCAGACAAACAGGAATATTTTCAGCAGCAAGACTGTCGTAAATTCCATTTTCCAAGTACATGTACACATACGATCGCCTTAATACTAAGATCTTTGTAGTGCGAGGAACCTTCTCCTGTAACATGTTTACTGCCTGTGTAATGGAGAAAACAAACGACATTGATCAGTATTGATCTGTTATAGACAGCTTGATCAAAGACTATTTCTATCTCTTTGCTTCCTTTATGTCCTCAATTAATGTTCTAACTTAATTTAGCACGTATTATACGTTTGCGTTCAGCTAGAATACATGTATAGCATATGATCACCAATGGTACAGTTCTGTTTTTTTTGGTAATAGGTGTAATTATAATTATCGATGATTTTTTAAATATTGTTTTATTCCACTGATATGAAAGTCTCTAATACATTACATTTTGAATTACATTTGTCATCGAATTTCTCGTTAACTTGAAAGATTAGCAGAGAATGGTTCTGCCATTGCATTAATTTGATTGACCGACATTGGCAGATAATAACTGACTAGTTACAGGCCGGAAGCCTAATTTGTACGTTTACTTGAACTTCTGTTGTGTTCGTGGTAATAGACAGTATATGGAGCAGCATAATACAAGGTAAAATATTTGTATTATTATTCAAACAAATTCTTGCTTGTTTCATAGCTCGCGTAATGAAATTGAGACATGTAGTCTGAGAGACATATGAAATATTTTGATACTTTTCAAGCGATGAAGGTTTGGAAATATTACCATTTCGGCTCTATAAAAGTCTAGTCTTATTATTTTTACATTGACGAATAAAACATCTACATCCACTCTTACCTGGCGCGCCTTCTGAAACGCCGGCTGCCATTATCTCTACATCATACCATTATATGTGTGAGCACACCGGGCATGGGAGATTCGTCCGACTGTGATGACGTCATAGAATAATGACGTCACTGTTTTCCGAGTTGTATTTTTACATAATCGCGGCGTTGGCACTTATGATATATATAAGCAGATTCATACAGTTTGCAGATTTTATCTTCGATTTAACCTCACTGAACCCAAAAGATACACAGTCAATCCTTTATATATTATATGTGACACATTTCTGACGTCATAAACATATGACGTCACAATCACGACTTCAACACAGGCCGGTGTCATTTTGTCTTCGGTGTTGAGCAGAATTCTGCGACGTTATCAGTTGGTAAAGCAATTTCAGTGTTGGTGTTCAAGGTACCTGTTGACCCAGCAGTAGGTTCTGATTGTGTTCCGTCTTCTTCCACAGTATACCTGTCCCCGCTCCCTGGTGGCGCTGTCGTGGCACAAGTAAAGATGACCGGTGGCCGCCGCATCACACGGGGCTATGAGGCTGGGAGGAGGAACGGACACTTCAACACCACCCCTCCCCGCGCCGACAGCAGCAGCAGCACTGGGACGACGGGTGTGTAGTTGATAGAGGATATTTGTGGGGATTTTTTTGGTCAAATAACGTGTATGTCCTTCGTGACCTGGCCATATTGATGTTTTCATGATTTCAGCAGCCATAAAGTTAGTTGTCAAAGGTTGCCTGCTCATGAGATGAGATAAACACTTGGAAAGACAGGTGTCATGTGTATTATAAAGTATATTTCTTGTCTTTTTCATGCGTTTATGGTCATTAGGTGTACGGAAATTATTTCCAGTATTTCCATTCAGCTCGATACCTACATAGTTTTCGTTGTACGAAACAGTTCTCATCACAAATTGTACTGCTATGTCGCCATACATTTCGATGTGGATAGTGATGTTGTTATATAGACAATACGATGCATCGAGATACATAGAAGGACACGATGTGTGCTATGTAAATACACATATCTTTCCATACAAAATGTGCAGTCCGTAGTTTTCAACCTCAAAAATTGTAGTAAAAAAATTGTTAACACTGCAAGTAAAATCGCTGGAGTCAGAATGAATGTTTATCATCAATATATGAGCGGCAAATCGTGAATCAAGCTGTCAAAATCATATCTGACCGTACTCACTACTTATATTCGGAATACACCCTCCACCCATCAGGCCGCCGCTACAAAGTTCCAATTGTGAAAACTAAGAGAGCCCGTACATCCTTTATTCCAAGTACCATATCTCTCTTAAACAAATGTGAAGGTACCTAAATCAAAGAATTTATGTAAATATGTTTGGTATCTCTCTAATGTGTCAGTAGCTCTGCTGATGTAACACAAATTCCTGAAAAGGCATTAAAGTATTCTTCTTCTTCTTCTTCTTCTTCTATATATCGCATAATTACTGACACCAACTGATGCACAATGACTGATATTTTGCCAGAGCGGGTCATGTCACGTGTTAAACGGAAACTGAACTTCGGCAGAAAGCCTCCCAAGGAAAGGGACTTAACTCCTAACACCTCCAGTACAAGCAAGGCCAGTAGAAAGGTGAGCAATTTGTTTAAATCAGTACGAAGCAGAATATCTAAAGAATATCGACCTTAATAACCCTTTTTCGCCATTTTTATCTCACGTATCATTATTTATCCGTACATTTTCGATTGTCTCTCGGACACCGATTCAATAATATCAATTGCTTAATATCTTATTCATTCGTCACCTAACGCCCTTTTCGTAACGCGCAAGCAATCGCCATTTGGCTTGTCCCGGAATAACATGATTTGGTCATGGATGGATAGAGCGGTCGCTAAAACAATTCAATAATAAGCAACTGGTTAGACAGTATAATTTCCTTTATTGCTGAACCATTTTGAGACTCGAGTCCCGTTTAGAGTCTACTCCCGTTTACTGACGAGGGATTTAGCTATTCGAATGAAGTGCGTGTCTAGATATAATCTCCATGGGAGTTATGAATCGATGTGTCAGCTCTTTATACATTTGTGTATAGTTTGATCATGTTTACATTTCAGATTGCTGGTAACTGACAGTTTTCCATTTTAGACCCAAATACGTTTTAACAACACCTGTCTATACCTGCTGTGGCCAATGGGGCTACTATCATACTGAACAGTTGTTCAGGTCTTAAATATATGAAAACATCTTCGAAATGAAAAGGGGAGTTTCACTTTGTAATATAAAATATTTGATCTTTTTTCGTTTTGAAACATATGGTTTCAAGCCAATGGGCCAAATTGGATTTCGCAGAAGTTAGAACAGAATACTCAAAAGGCGGTCTCCATTACTCATTTGTACAATGCCTTAAGCAGTCTGTAGTGTCATCGCCTGTGATAGTGCTGCTAAAAGTCAACATTGAACTGCTCATCGTTTACATATATACCAATGCCAATACTTTCGACCACAATTTGGGGGTACCGTAGCTTTATGAATTTCGAAATTGTGAAAGGCCAGTGTTCTTTTATGGTTTTACAAGGCGATATCAACGACTGATTTATCGTTGCCAATAGAAATCGAAGACCGGTTCAAGGATCCAAAATCTGAAAAGATCAGTTCGGAGAACCGGAAACACAATCAACCGTGAACTGCGCAATCTCCTGAACTCTGCTGTGACTGTGATACTTCCTGTGCGCCTCCGTTCCGATATGCGCCGCTTAGAGCGCACCGGAAGTACTAGTGGCGGGAAGAGGACAACAAGTCGTGAAGGTTACCCAGTCAAATCATCCCAGGAAGTGACCCATCTACCCAAGAGACGCAGCAGGCACAGATCCAAGGAGGTTGTAACTGGTAACATGATTGTGAGATGAAATACACCACTTGTATGTTTAACACCACTGTTTTGATCGGTTGTATTCTCCGTTTGTCACATTTTTGTCGAAGACTTCTCGCGAAAACGTCAATGAGACTTCAGTGTAAATATCCTTGTTTCATAGTGTACATTAAATAACTTCGTATTTTGTTATTTTCCCCTGGCTTTCCAGTTGTTGCACCTACAGCTGTTTACGTAATGGCCTCTGGTCGTAATGTTGTTTGTTGTTTAAGTTTGTTGTAAATATTTTGCATCCACCCCATTTACTTGTTATTTGTTATCGTATGTGATGCGTCTTTGGTTTGCAAGCTGGTAAAAATACCATGTTTCTATTTTGTTTAACTTGTCCTTGTCATGAATGTGTAAAGACAGAGTATATTTGACCAGCCGTGTTTCAGATGATTGTTTACATATGTATCGGTTAAAAGCATAAAAATATCAGTTTGTCATTCTCACTAGAGAATGCATCGCTTTTCTGTGCTAACCACGGCAGTGAAATGGTTATGAACAGATTACCCCCATGCTTGAAAAACAACCGAGTGTACGGGAAATCAGCTGATTAGGTTCTACGTATCCACAGACACATATATTTACAGAACGGTTTGCTGGAATATTGCTGATTGTTTCATAAAATACTCAACACGGAGCTGACTGAATGGTTTCAAAATCGTCAACTACGTTGTACGAGCTTTGTGTAGCGCCAGGCAGTTCACAGTGAAACTTTGTCATATCAATACTCACATTACCCTGTGAGATCCTTATTAAAAGACGTCCTCAGCAACCCATTACTGTCCTGAGAAACGACTGACGGGATCAGGTGGTTAGTCTTTGCTGATGCATGTGTTGTACAGCTGGAATAATGCTGTGAACGACGTTAAACAACAAACAAACAATCTAAGTGCTGTCGATGAATGATGTAGATAACGGAAATAGTTTAGAAGCCCCGGATGTGCGCACATACAACAAGGGGCATAACCAACACATCAGGTTTAAGTGTGTTATGTGTTTTCTAGTCATAGTACATCATTGTATTTCGATTATTGACAACCCGCCATCATACAGCTGGAATACTGCTGAGTGCGGCGTTAAACAGCAAAGAGAGAAACATAATTTAGGGTCCGCACTTGAACCCTACAAGTGTTTGAATCATCTTGCTCATTTTACGTAGGCCTCTATTACTGTGAACAAAGCTTGATTTACTGAAAATACAACATTCTGAAACTGAAAACAATTCTCTCTTTTTGTGGTGTTTCATGACAACTTTTGAATATGCCTGGTCTTTTTCTTTAAAGAGGAACTTGGATCGGACCAGTAAGCTGCAGTAGTAAGTTCAAAACCAGTCATTCAGCTAGTGTTGTCATCTTGATCATGGTAGCAATAAATCATTGATGGCATTCGTGGCTCAGTGGTTAATGCGCCTTATTATTCTGTACAGAGGATCCGATGATCCTTGGTTCGAATCCTGCATTCATCTTGATTTTGATTCTTTGACCATCTACGTATTCGTAGTGACAAACATGTGCACAACGACGCCTTGATATCACTGAAGCACTGTTTCAAACTGATTTAAAGGAGAATACGAGGGAATTGCAATAATTTGCTGGGTGAAAGATAAAGTCATCAGAAACATATTCCCAAATTTTCAATTAAAAATTATGTGTAATTATGTTTTAATCGCGAAAACAGTTTCTGTAAATCTCAGCTTCGGCCATTATGCATATTTCGATGGAACCCACGTGACCTTTCCGCTCGTGACGTCAAATGTGCCTGGAGTCCACCATATTGCCAAAGACCAAGGGCTACAGTAGTACAAATCGTGTTGTTTCTGTCGTTCTTTTAAATGGTACGATGGTGTATTGCGTTGCCTGGGGATGCACGGCATCATCGAACATGGGAAAGAACCACCATTTCTTCCGTTTTCCAAGTGAAATAACAGATTTCGGCAGGAGAAATGCGCCGATCATTCCGAGTCGGACGCATATGAAAGAGACATGCACGCATGGGGTATGGAAATCCCCAAGCTAGGCTGAAGAAGGAAAAAGTATCCACGAGATTCATTTATACTCCATCATTCCCTGTAACAACTTACTGTCAGTGGTATTTCTAACATACATTAAATCAAGTCCGATTGCCAGTCGAATTGCCCCCGCTACAAAATGACCCACCAAATTTGGTCAAATTACCCCAGTGGGGATGTCAAAATTCCCCAATTTATTTAAAATTAATAAATATAGGCCATAAATGCATAGTTTTGTCAACTTTGATATTATGTTCTTCATATATAAGTATATACATAGTTATGAGCTTACTAATGAAACATTTATCAGAAATATTACTTCCTAATAACTAGTATATGAAGGACATAATATCATAATAAGTTGACAAAAAACTATGTATTTACGGCATATATTCAGTCATTATAAATAAATTTGAACAAATTAGAATGAATGACCAAATTTGCTGGGGCATTTTGTAGCTGGGGCCGTTCGACTGGTACACATGAGATATATATTATCAAAATCAGTAAGTGATTTCACATGAGCTTGAAAATGTTTCGCTATAACGTTCTTTTCGGTTTGGGGCCCTAAATGATGCAGTCAACTCGAAACATTGCCAAATACAACGGCAAATCATGAAGTACTTGTTGCTTTCATATTTTTCCATTTTGTCCAATTACGCACGTCGGCATCAGACTCGCTATTTGTCAGTAGTGTGTGCCTTGAAAGTTGTTCTGTATTCTCATTGGCTGACAAGATATCATTCTAAGGCTATGACCGAGTACCATAACTATTTCCATAACCAAACAATGGGGAAACATACGTTGTCCTGACTAATATTTTATAATTCACCAGTTTTCGGGCAATAACTTATCTGCGTAGCGAATATTATCTCTACTCGACCAGGCTGGGATCTTGTATCGAGACTTGATACGTTATTAATGAGAACTAGGATCCTATCTTTTTTCAACAAAATAATTCCAGTGTAATTTTTGAAGCAGATTTTTATTTTCCCTCGTCTGAAGCATAATTATTTTGTTTTTAAATCCCAGACACCCTACAGTCACCCATTTGACACAAAATGAACTGTAATCATATTTAAAAAAAATAAATTCTTAGTGACTGGTCATATATTTATAGGGGGGAGTTTGCTGGCTGGAACTGTATGACATTTTGCTGACAAATATTAATCTTGTTAAATGATATGGTCTATTTTTAATTTTTTTTTTACCTCAAGCGGTGTCTCCGTTTCGCTTGATTATTCTTCTTCATCTTCAGTGGAAGATTGTTTTGCAAGATGTAAAATCGGATCGTATTGATACGATCTATCATCCATTTCAGAAATGACATCAGGAACATCTTTTACTGCTTCAGAATCCACGGACACTGTTAAGTTGTGAGGTAAAATCAAAGAGAAAGCCATCAGCAACAAGCTTACAAAGGCATGAGCCGTAGCTGTGTGAGTATATACCCAAAGGGAAAAGTTACACACAAAAACAATCAATGTTAAACCTGTTTTAGTCGTGAAGATATTGTTTGTTAAACGAGATACAAGCTGTGGTAGCGATCAACAATCCACAAGAACAGCGCACGCTGTAAAAGGTCAGTAGAGAGTGTGTTCACGATGTGCATTGATGCACACCTTGTACTTTCGCCTCATTGAGGAAACTAAAGTCCATGAAATTCCTTGGAGTTCCTGCAGTGTTGAAGGGTTTGGATGACATCCTAAACGTCGGCCCATTTCATCCCAGACGTGTTCAACGGGTGACAAACGAGGGGATCTTGCCGGCAAGAGTAACAGATCAACATTCTTCAGATTAGGATATTTGACCCGCGAGGATCCGGGTTAGAATTGATCTTGAGTAACCCATGCTTGTCATAAGAGGTGACTAACAGGATTGGGTGGCCAGACTCGCTGACTTGGTTGACACATGTCATCGTATCCCAACTGCGTTGATCAACACTCATGTTGTTGATCACTGGATAGTTTGGTTATCTATCTATGACCGCCGCCATATAGCTGGAATATTGCTGAGTGCGGCGTAAAACAAAACTCACTCACTCACTTTAGGTGTACGTCGCCATATGTGCCAAATGGCCTATTACTGGACGTGGACCGCCTAGCAGCATCACGCTGCAGGTACCCGACTGACGCATGCCTAATGCTACGTCTGTCATTCATATCGAGGCATGACTTGTCCAAGTTGTTCCAGAACGATGAATAAAGGTGTTTCCCGACTTCTGCCTTCCTTAAGACTGTATTGAGACTTTTAAGAACAGTATATCACAACACTTTCGTTGCTACACAGAAGCGCACCACACCATCACTAAACTGGTATTCAGTTTTTGGCATTCTTGGCCCAGTCGTCTGAATGACTGGGATCACTGGATTGTCTGGTCCAGACTCGATTATTTACAGACCGCCGCCATATAGCTGGGATATTGCGGAGTGCGGCGTAAAACTAAACTCACCCACTCACTCACTGAATGACTGGGCAGAGTTGCGCCCCTTAGACATGCTCAAAACCAATGATTGTGGGTTTGAATTTTCGTTCGCCCTATTTCTGGATTTGTTAGTACTGGTAAACGCCAACACCCTGCATCAACCCGGGCTTCCCTCCCTTATTAAGCTAGCATGCCCTGACTTTGGTGAAATACTCTTCTTAGCGGCAAAAAACGAAACTCGCAAACTCATTAGAAGGCGTTCTCAGAAACTGGATGAATACAGGTTAAAAATGTGCATGTGTCCCAACATCGGTACGTTTCTGTGTACAAATCCGAAATATCTGCAGCCTATGACTTATCCACGGCCATAAATCACGATGTTGAGGACGAAGGTATGGTGTCTGTTCTTTGAAATATTGTCTGTGCCCACAAGCTCATTTTCTCAGCAAATAAGATGATTGGGGATTTTACAAGCGCTTCAGATGGACGAACTCGCGATTGTCTTGACTTTTACGACCCTTTTAATCTGAATACTATTCGCAACAAAATGGCACATTCGTTCACGGTATAACAGCTTTGTGTTTTATAAAACAGCTAGAATATAAAAATATTGATGTGTAATTGATTAAAGAGTTTTAAGAAACAAACATTGATGAATCTGATACAGATATTTTCTCTATATGTACAAAATAGAGTGAGTGAGTTTAGTTTTACGCCGCACTCAGCAATATTCCAGCTATATGGCGGCGGTCTGTATATAATCGAGTCTGGACCAGACAATCCAGTGATCAACAACATGAGCATCGATCTGCGCAATTGGGAACCGATAGTTAGCGAGCCTGACTACCCGATCCCGTTAGTCGCCT